CAGAGCTAAACCCCTGGCGCTCGTGATTGTGTCTTTATATCCTCTGGGACATTGGTGCTGCAGTTGGTTGAAGTCCCTATGAGGTCCATAGTTACCATCATTACCAGGAAGAGCTCGAGGAGGTGCTTTTAGCCTCCTGGGACAAACAGGCAAACGGCAGAGTGTGGACTTGGCATGGCAGAGCGGTCTACTGGCTACCAGCTTTGCCACTGGACACTACAGTGCAGAGTTGGTTGAAGTCCCTACGAGGTCCATAGTTACCATCATTACCAGGAAGAGCTCGAGGAGGTGCTCTTAGCCTCCTGGGACAAACAGGCAAACAGCAGAGTGTGGACTTGGCATGGCAGAGCGGTCTACTGGCTACCAGCTTTGCCACTGGACACTACAGTGCCAGCCCGGAGTAATCACCAGAGGGTGGTGGGCCTGGGGGGGCGTCCGGGCCGACGGGGACACTCGCCCCCTCCTCTGCACCTCAGCCCTGCCCACATGGCCCAGCCCCTTCCTGTGATGTGGGTTTGCACCTCCCACGGCTAGGCTGATCCTTACTGGTGCCAGCCCGCCTAGCATCAGGTTCCTGTGGCTAAGCAGCGCCAAGAGGCTGGAGCCGGCCTCCCGCAAACTTGAGTGGCTTGGCTTAGTGGAGCCTGTGTGTTTTGACGTCTTGCTCTAGGCAGCAGCTGGAGACTTAAGGTTTCCTTTTCATGGGGCTTCATCTTCCAGATGTTCAGGTGGGTGCCACCCACTTCCTAGCTGCTGCTTGCTGAACTCTGGTTTGTCCAAGCTGCCAAGAGCTGTGGGAACTGTGCCTTTAACACCAAGTCAGCCTTTGCCATTGCAGAAACCACTCTGAGCCCCTGGGAGCCGAGAATCCTCTAGATTCAAGGCAAAAGTGACCTTCACTGACAGCTACCTTTCTACCCTTTCTGCAGGGCCAGAGTTGTATGGAGCCTGACAGGAACCAGGAACTGCCCCTCCTCAGCCCTTCTGGCCTTTGCACCTGAAAGCAAGACTGGCTTCATTTGTGCCTGTGGGTGGGTGTGGTGTGGTTCGTAGACTGCCCTGAAGCCCCGCTCCTCTCTTGGCACTGAGAGCTCAAAGCTGGGGTTGTTTTCTGAGCAGCCTCTGAGGCATATGGGAGAGGACGAGCTAAGGGCTGCAGCACAGAACAACTAGGAGAGCCGGCTGCCGGCCCTTGCTTTTTCTGCTCTTGGCTGGTGCTTGGTGAGGGGTCGCAGGTCTGCACTCTAAGACCCTGCCCGGGGTGTGAGCGCTCATATTCCTGCTGCTGGCCCTGGGTTGGCTTGCATCTTTGGGCCGTACTGCTAGATTCTGGGGATACAAGGCTGTAGCCTCTCCGTGCAAGTAGTATGTTGGCAGGGGAGGAATAGGAACCCATCCTGGGGGCTGGAGAGCGGAGGAAGGGAGCCTCATCCCGGAAGGGCCATGTGGGGAGGGCGAGCTCCGTGTAGACCCCACCCCGCAGCGTGTGTATCCGGCCAAGGGCTCGCACACCGCTGAGACAGCCACTGCTCCTGTGGGCACCCCGAGTGCCGGTGCGGGTGTCTCCCTCTGGCCTGCCGCCTTCTCATGCTGCACGGCCCTCCCCGTCATGCTGTCTCTGATCATGCTGTGTCCCATGCGTGAGCCGTTTAGGCCATGTAGAGCCTTCTGTCCGTGGCAGGAGGCGTTTAGAGATCCTAGCCAGGGGCGAGGGTCACTGGGTCATTTCTGCTGCTAGAGCTTCCCACAGTCAGAGCCCAGAACTTCATATTTTAGAAAAGACATTATTTCCAGGTCACATTTGTCGTGACAGAGTATTATTTTTTTTCAATGATGGGCTTTGAACCCAGGGTCTCATGTGTGCTAGGCAAGCACTGCACCGCTGAGATACATCCCAGCCCTGCAGTTAGACAGACCTTTCTGCAGCTTTTGTTGTTATTAGGGTGTGACCTTTCGAGGCTGCACCATCAAATCGTAGCTTTTCCAGTTTCCCTGATGGAAGTTAGCCCTCATCTGTATGCGTTGCACATCCGTGGATTCAGTGAACCACAGGGGAAAACAGGTTTTTTAAATTTCCCTGTACTGAACATATAAAGCTTTTCTTGTCCCTGTTCCTTAAACGATTCAGTACAATAAGTGTTTAGCTAGCGCTGGCATGTACTTTGCATTATATAAGTAATTTAGATATGGTTTAAAGTACATTAAGGGATGTTGGTGGGTTACATGCAAATACTCTGCCATTTTATAACAGGCACTTAAGCATCTGTGGATTTTGATGTCCTGGCAGGACAGGGTAGTCCTGGAACCACTCCGCTGAGGGTGCTAGAGGAGGACTGTAGTGGTCTTTTTGTGTGGTCTGTCATCCGCCTCACATGCAGTTAGGTTTACTCGTTCTAAGTTTTTGGTTTGTTTTGTTTTATTTTGTTTTTTGAGACAAGGTCTCACTATGTAGTTGAGACTGACCTGTAGCCCAGGCTGGTCTCGAACTCACAGTGATCCTCCTGCCTCAGCCTCCCGAGTGCTGGGATTACAGGCGTGTGCCGCCATGCCCGGCCTCGTTCTAGGTTGTTTACATCTCTAGGACTTATTTCCTACCTTCATTTTATTTTTTGAATGTATGAACCATGCACAAAAAATGAACAAAGTCACAAGATTTGTTTGACCAGTCTTGTTTGCACCTCCATCCTTGTATCCTCTTCTTTCCTTTCCCGTAGGACACTGCTTTTATCTTCTCACTGATCCCTTTTGTGGTTGTGTGTGTGCTGACGTGTACCTCCCCATCCTCGTAGGCGGGCAGCACGCTCCACACGCTGTCTGCGAGCTTCCTCAAGTCAGGACAGGGCATCTTCATGCCGAAGTTCAGGCAGAGGAGTAGGCTTTGCTGTGGGCTGTGTCCTTCAGGGCCCGATGGCCCATGAGACAGGTGCAGGGAGTCTCCCTGGAAGCCTGACACCTCCTCTTGTCTGGGTCCCACATCAGCCCCTTTTGTAGATGACACCGTGGCTCATAGAGAAAGGAGGGCTGTCTGGGGTCTCTTGTGCATGGATGGCAGGTGACCCTGGCTCTGTGGCACATAGCAGTCCCAAAGGTGACTGCACCAAGCTGAGAGTCGGGCAGGGCTCAGGGCCCAAGGCCAGGAAGCACTGTGCACGTTTAGGGCCTGCAGCATGGGTGTGGGCCAGAGCCTGAGCGGGCCAGGCCAGGAGGGAAGAAACCAAGCAGACAGGCCTGGGTGACCAGGGCCCAGCACTGCGTACCCAGCAAAGGGTCCCCAGGCTGGCTCATGAGTTTCCCAAAGCCTCACCCTGGCTGGCAGAGAAGCAGCTCTCCAGTATCTCACTTGATTCATGATAGTCTTAGTCCCTTGGTGTCACCTGTAGGGCCTGAGTTGTCCCACCCGGGGCTCTGGGGACCAGCCCTTCTCTGTACTGTCAAACAATAATAATAATAATAATAATGATAATGGACAGGGCCAGGATTTAGCTCAGAGGTGCCGCTGCCTGCCTTGCAAGCTTAAGGTCCTGAGTTTGATCCCCAGTACAAAAAAAAAAAAAAAAAAAAAAGACAGCCTTCTCAAATTAAAACCGCAGGAATGAAAGAGTAGGTGTCACCTGTGGTGGAGGGCCTGCGGGAGTGGACAGAGGGCATAGAACAGGTGGCACTCATGACCACGGATGCCTGCAGTCTTAGCTGGACTAGGCCCTCGGATGCTGCCCGGATCCATGAGATCCTGCATGCACCCTCAGTGGACAGAGACCCACAGGGCCTGTTTGGGTGGGGAGTCAAACCCCGGAACCAGCATCAGCTTGGGGGCAGCCTGAGGCGTGACTCACCCTGCCTCAGCCTGTCCAGATGGGGAGGAGGCCACCAGGAGCCAGTAGACGTCCCTGGGAGGAGGCCTGCGTCTGTGGTGCTCATTGTATGATGGTGGTGTGCTGTGGTGTGGAGGGCACAGGGAGGACAGCATCACCCCATGCTCCAAGGAAGGGCAGGTCTCCGGATGATGTCAGTACCACAGCCAAACGCTGGTGGTTGATGTGGTGGGGTTGGGGTCCTGAGTCCGGTGTTCTGGGGTCGGGCAGCAGCTATGTTGGCAAGCAACTGCTCTTTCCCTGTGTGCCTGAGAAGTATTTCTTCTTCCGTGGACCTACAGGCATGTGCCAGTACCCACAGAATCAAGATATTTTATTTTTCCATACTAGGGATTAAACTCAGGGCCTTCACACTGAGCTGCATCCTCAGCCCTTTTTAGTTTTTTTTTTTTTTTTTTTTTTTTTTTTTTTTATGGTGCTCATTAAGTTGCCCAGGATGGGCTTGAACTTGCCATCTTTCTGCCTCAGCTTCCCTGAGTGCTGGGATTACAGGTATGTGCCTCCATGCCCAGGTTGGAATGATTTAAATAAGCTTCCAATGTTTAACGTGTAAGGCTGGCCTGTTAACTCAGTTGGCGAGAGTATGGTGTTAAATGAAAGGAACGTAGGTCAAAACCCCCGAAGAAACTTTCAGCCTGTCTCTCTTTCCCTCAGGTCGGGTCCCGGAAACCGGAAGTCTGAGCCTAGGGAGGGCAGGGGTGAACACCAACCCTAAGACCCAGAAGATTCTCGTGGACTCCCAGGAGGCCACCTCTGTCCCCCACATCTATGCTATTGGAGACGTTGCCGAGGTACAGCTGGCACCTGCCTGGCCAGCCCTGGTGGCCAGGACTGCTCAGCCCAGTCCACCACCCACCTGCCCCAGCCGGGCCTGGGGGAGCACGTGCCCCAGTCGCTGCTACACTGTGGGAAGGGATTCTTCTTTCTCCAGACACAGAGGTGCTCAGCTGGCCCCCAAGGACTGGTAGGGTACAATCTAGGAAGGATTGGGCAGCACGCGGCTCTTTCAGATGCCTTTCCTTTCTGTAGAGGGTTAGAAATGGTTGTAAGCACCAGATGTGGTGGCGCGTGCTTATAATCCCAGCCAGTGGGAGGCAGAAGCAGGAAGATTGCTGTGCTGGGTGACATAGCAAGTTCAAGGACAGCCTAAACTGCCTAGCAAGACCCTCAAAAAACCAAAAATGGCTGTAAGTATAATTAGCTGAATATTACAAATAGGCCAGCCATAGGGCCAGGGATTTTTAGCTTAGTGGTTCCGCCGCCTGCCTCAAAAGTGCAAGATCCTGAGCTCGATCCCCGGTACCAAAAAATCAAAATCAAACAACAACAAAAAAACCAAATAGGCCAGCCCGGGGTCATCCTGTCCCCACAGGGGAGTAAGAACAGTCCCATCCCCGTGCTGCCCTCCTCGCCTCAGTTTACCCGATGAGCTGCAGGCAGGTCCCGTTCCTTTTCTGATGAGCCTGCACTCGGGCAGGGCCTCTGCTCTCTGTGCTGCTGTGGAGTGGGGACTGGTACCCATCCTTCTTGGGTGGGGCTGGCACAAAGCTGGCCCCGCAGCTTTTCCCAACCTCCAGGCCTGCGGCTGCAGCCGTCTCCCCGTTGTTCTGCCTCCCCTGGACGGGGGTGAGGGCTGCAGCACCCCCAAGTGAGGCCTAGTGGGTGCCTGCTCGCGCTCTCCTCTGCTTGGGAAGCACCCAGTCATCATCCCTGTCCTGAGCAGTCCCCACAGCTCCAGCAGCAGGTTGCCTGTCTTGCCTGCTCTAGCATGTCCTGGGGAAGGTGACTCGGGGCCTTGCCAGACAAGCCCAGAAATGGTCCCGTCCTTAGGCTCTGTCGTCTCTTTGCAGTGAGACCTTCCCCGTGTCATCCACATGTGTTCATGCCCTGGGGATACCATGACAAATGACAGCAAATTTAGGACAACAGAAGCTTAGTCTCTCACTTTATGAGGGTAAGAAATCTGAATTAAAGATAGGGACAGGGCTGTCCCTCAGGGCCCTCCGTGGGAGCCTCTGTCCTGGCTCCTCCAGCTTCTTTTTGAGGCAGGTCTTGCTTTGTAGTGTAGGCTGGCCTTGAACTTACTGTGCAGCCCAGGCTGGCCTCAAACTCCTGACAATCCTCCTGCTTCAGCCTCCTGAGTGCTGGGATTGCAGGCGTGCACCACCACCCCCGTCTTCCTGTAGCTTTGGTGGCCCTAGACATTCCTCAGATTCTAGCTATGTTGCCCACTTCTGTCCTGGTAGCACATGACTGTCTCCCCTGCCTGTCTTTGCCCTTATTTGTCTCTGAAGCATTGTTTTTTCATCAGATTTAGGGTCCACCCTAATCTACTACAGCCTTGATTATATCTACAAAAGCCATATTTTCCTTAAAGCCACTTTCTGAGATTCCAGGGAGATATGAATTTTGGCCGGACACTGTTCGGCCTGCCCCACTGTGGTAATGTCCACTTACCCAGCAGGTGTTACTCGAGTGCCTACCGTGGACCAGCACTTTCTAGGAACTAGGAACGCTGTGATGCCTAGCAAGAGGCACCTCTATGTGGGAAAGGTGCCAGAAATATCGGGCACACCAAAGGCATTCTGTATTGCAAAAAACAAAAAATTGCACGCATGCAGTTAGAAAAGTCATTCAGAGCAGTGCAGATCATGACCGCTGTCCAGCTAGGGCCTGGGAAGACATCGGGGTGGGGGGTCAGGGGGCCATTGTTTAATGAGATATTGTGTGCTGTGTACATGGTGGTTTCCGCAGTTAGTCAGGCCCGGAGGAATGTGCACATTGCTTCCCCAAATTATCTGTGCAGATCTCTGTTCACTTCTGGAATGCCAAACAACATCTGCATTTCCTGCTGCAGAGGTGATTGGCAGCTGGTCCCAGGCTGACGCGTGCAGGAATGCTTGAGACAGGGTGCATGCTGGGATGGAGGAGTCTCCCACAGAATGACACTGTGATTTGGGATTTGTCACGGATGGTGACAGGCGCTTCGAGCTGTGTCAGGAGAACTTGGAATGCTTGGGCCTGTTTTGGCCAGAATCCCCGTGAATGACCTTGGTAGTGGGCACAGCCCTCTGAGTTCAGCAGCAGGAGAGGAGAAGCCTCGACTGAGTGAGGGTGACATGGCTGCAGTCATCGGCAGCTCGTTTTGTCTTTCGGGAAAGGGAGTCAGAACTACAGGCAGGAAGCCAGGGATGCTGCACCCCTCGCTGTGGAAGAATTGGACTTGAGTGGGCAAAGTTTTCTGCTCAGCACAGCTCTACATGGTGTTTGGGGTTTTCGACAGGGTGCTGCCCACCAGGAAGGTGATGAGAGCAGCTGAGAGGTTATGCGGGCTCCTTTGGATGTGTGCTAAGGTAATCCGACTTCCTTCCATCAGGGGCGGCCTGAGCTGACACCCACGGCCATCATGGCAGGGAGGCTTCTGGCCCAGCGGCTCTTTGGGAAGTCCTCAGACCTGATGGATTATAACAACGTGAGTTCTCGTAAAGGACCCCACATCTCTCCAGGAAGAGACAGAGACTGGTTGTGCTTGGGGTGTGCGTGTACCTGTGTGTTTGTGTTTGCCTGGGTGTGTGAGTGCATGTGGGTGTGAGCAGGTACGAACGGCTTGGCTCTGAGTCCAGCCCAGGAACAGCATGGCTGGCCCTGGCCTGTGACCACTGCTTTATATGCCCTGAAATAGGGGCTTTTCTGATTTGGGCGGCTCTGAGAGGCGTGTCTTATTCTGGCCTGCTTTCAGGTTCCCACAACTGTATTTACTCCGCTGGAGTACGGCTGTGTGGGGCTATCCGAAGAGGAAGCCATGGCCCAGCACGGTCAGGAGCAGGTCGAGGTAGGGTCAGAGGATCGGTACGGCCTGCAGATGGCCCCTCCTCGGATGGAGAGCCTGTCGGCGGTGCTATCTGTGTCCGTGCTTCCCCGGGTGCTGCAGCTTGGCAGGGTGGGGTGTGCAGGCCCAGGATGATGGCCTTGGTGCAGTGGAGGGTGGTTCCAGAGATGAGGGAGGCAGAGGGCTCTGGCAGCTTTGGTGTAGCTTTGGCCTGGCCTTGTCTCCTCCAGCCTCAGTGGCTACCTGCCTGCTGCCCCGCGTTGTGACTAAGGAAGGTCTATGGCCACCTCATTCTGAAGCTCCACGGTCCGCAGCTCCAGTCCCACCCCCTACAGGCACGCCCAGTGCCATCAGGGTCCCCACCGTGGCTGGTGCTGTTACTTTCCTGCTAGTCTTCGGGCGTGCAAACGCCAGCCCACTCCACACGCAGAGTGCTTGTCACACAGGTTCCCAGGATGCCACTGTGGCTCTCCCCACCTCACGGGGACACGTCTCTCTCAACCTGGAATGGCTTCCCTGGGTGTCCTCTGAATTCTGCTTGCCACCCCCACCTCCTGTCCCCACTAGCCCATGCCCTCCTACCTGAACCTCTACCTTTCTGGGACTCCCCTGGGGCCTCTAGCAGGCACGGCTCACACTCTGCCCCAATCTATGCCCCAGTCTTTCCAGGTTCCTCTAGTCCTTGTAGGCACAAATGGCATTTACCTCAAGGAAGGGTGTTTTCACTGGGCAAGGTTGCTTTTTGGGTGTTGCCCCAGGCAGGTAGGCCATCTCCCTGAGTGGTAATAGAACATACTCAGGTGGCCTAAAGGGAAGCCAGGAGGCTTTAAAACCTGCCACGCTAGGCCAGGGCTTTAGCCCAGTGGTCCTGCTGCCTGCCTCGAAAGCACAAGGTCCTGAGTTCGATCTCCGGTACTCCACCCTTCCAAAAAAACAAATAAAACTTGTCATGCTGTGGACACTGGAAGCCTTTGATACGGTTTCATCTTGCTGCTGTAGCCGCTTGCAGGTGGTGGGGAAAACCAGACTCTGCGTATCCTGGGCAGTGGAGCCTGTGCCCTTTGGGAATGAGTCACTGGGCTCCAGGGCCTGCCCCTGCCCCTGTACCTCAAGCCCTTCCATCACTGGGACAGGCCTGACAGCCTGGCCTTCCCTGTAGCACTTTATTTGCTATTTTTGTTTGATTCATCATAAGTACCCTGGGACATGTGTTCATGGCATTTATAATGTTGTTTTTTTGTTTCACAATGTTGAATGGCCAAATACCCTTTGTTTGTTTTCTTTTCAGCTCTGTCTTGCTTAGAACAATATTCTCTGAAGCTCTATTAATTAATAATGGCTGTACAGCACATGTGAGGGCTGTACTCATTTTTTACCAAGCCATAGCCCCAAATGCTGTCGAGCCCTCCAGGGGTGCTGAAAACCCTTGTCCCACAGCTCGAGCGTGGCCAGAGCCTGCCCTGCCCCTTGGTCACCCCGCACCAGCCCCACCTCCTCTTCCCTGAAGATAGGGCCCAGCCAGTGCTGAGGTGCCCAAGGGAGGCCATGCAGCTGCCCCGAGCCCATTCTTGCCTACATGGGTGGGCTGGCCGCCCCCCACAAATCACAGCCTGTGATTACCCTTTCCAGCCTTCGGTGGTCTCGGGGCCTGCGTATACCCCACACATGCCCGTCGGGGGTACTCCCTTGCCCTGGTCCAAGCCGTAGACCCTGTGAAATGTGGCAATTAGCACCCGGGCAGCCTAGTGCCTGCGCTCTTACTGCAGTGTAAGCCTGGTCAGGAGAAGAGCTATCCTGCAGACCCGTGTGGCTCAAGATCCTCGCTGCCTGTGCATGGGAGAGGGGCCAGTTTCTGCATTGGCTGAGCTGTTCCTCACCCCAGACGTCACATTCTGGCCAAGCGGGGGGTTCTAGGTCCCTGAGAAGGCCCAGCTTGCCTGTACCACTTCTGTTAGAGCTGTAAAATGTCCACAAGGACTGGTTTGGCTGTGGTCACCATTCTAGGAATTGGTGTTTTGTCAACCAGGTTTATCACGCATATTATAAACCTCTGGAGTTCACAGTGGCTGAACGGGATGCATCTCAGTGTTACATCAAGGTGAGTGTCCCTGGAGGCCCAGGGGTGCCAGGGTGAGAGGAAAGAGGGAAGGAGCCAGCAGCAGGGGTAGGGAGTTCTGTGTTGTCCCAGAGCGGAGCACCACAAATATCCAGGGGCCACTCATGCCCACAGGCTGAGGCCGCAGAGGTGGGTCACAGCTGGGTCCCCTGAGCCTGGACTGTGGCTGAGACCCTGTGGCTTTCAGATGGTGTGCCTGAGGGAGCCCCCACAGCTGGTGCTGGGCCTGCATTTCCTCGGCCCCAACGCAGGCGAAGTCACTCAAGGATTTGCGCTGGGGATCAAGTAAGTCTGGAGGAATGTGGGCTGTTCTGCAGTGTTCCGCCCGTGTCCCTCCGAGGGCTGGCAGCACCACAGCAGAAGTCCACGGGGTGTTGTGTCCCTTCCCTGTGGCCTTGTGCATGTTTGCCAGAGGGACCCCCCAGGATCTCCTCTGGGGCAGGGTCAGTGTGAAGGAGGGACATTTCTTCTCCAGCTGCTGCATACGCGCAAGCCAGTGTCATGCAGCCTGTTCTGCGGCTGCCTCCTGGGGGAATCACTGTGGCCCCGATCACTGTTTGGATCTCTTCAACTAGGTCAGAATGAGCAGGCTTGAGCCTTCGCTCACAAGGGGTATCATGAGCAAGTTCCCTGTCTCTGATGTGTGGGGAAAGAGCCACTCAGGGCCACTGAGCATTTTCTGGAACTTGGGCCTGGGTCCTTGTGTGGGTCCTTACCTGGGCTATTGTGTGGGTTTTGTCTGAGCATGTAATGCAAGGCCTCCTGCGTGCAAGGTCAGTGCTGAACTGCTGAGCCACACCCTAGCCCCCCAGGCTGTGTGCTTCTGGGATCCCAAGGCCTACAGGGGCCATGAGATGGCTCTGGGTGGGGTGGGTTGTCTGGGGAGTTGGAGGCTAGGAGGTCATGCATGGCATTTCCAAAGGAGACTGGGCCTAGCACATCAGAGGCAGAAGGGCCATGCAGGGACAAGCTGTGGACAAAGTTCAGAGGGAACAGGGAGGGGCTGACAGGAGGAGGAGGGCATGTAGACAGCTGGGGTCCCCTGTGTGCTGGGCGTGTGTGTATGACCAAGAGCCACCTTGGGGGTAAGGGGACGGGGTAGGGGAGGGAGAGAGCCAGGGCAGAGGAGCGGGACCTGTATGATGAGGGGCTCTCTGCAGGAAAGATCTGGGACTGGGCCAGTTGCCCTAGGGAACCCAGTCTTCCCCAGGGGGCAGCCTAGGGCCATGGATGGGGCCACCTGTATCATGGGGCAGCAAGCCTCAGGCCCACCTATCCCTGCACACATACGTGTGCTGAGGCAATGGCTTGGTTGTGGGGCTCAGATTTTTCCAGGAGATGGGCCTCAGAGGTTAAAAGAGAAGGCTGGGTCCAGAGTGGGTTTGTGTCCTGGGTATGTGTGTGTCTCTGGTCCCTAAGCTGCAGAGCTACTTGTGGCAACAAGGCTGTCATTGGGAAGTTTAGTCCAGAGTGACCATTGGGGGGACCCTGTAAGCCACTGCCGTCTCTGCCCAGAGTCCTGCTGGATGGAGCCTGTGGGGATGGCTCTACTGTGGGCGCTGACAAGAGGCTGTGCGCGATCTTGGGAGCCTGACCCAGGGGCCCTTTGTCAGCGATGGTGGGCTGGGCCATCCACAGCCCCAGCTCCTGACCTCAGGAAGATTTCTGGGGCTGGTAGGGGACAAGGACAGCCCTGAGCCTCCCCCACCAAACCATGGCAATCTGTTTGCGCTGGCATGCAGATGGTATTGCCCAGACCAACTTTTAGTTTTTGAAATAATTTCTAGAAAATCTTTTAAATGTGGCCGCCTCATTTAATAATGTAATTGCAAAGGGTTAATTTCCTTAATATGGAAAAGCTCTTATAAGTCAATAATAATTACAGAGTGAACAACCTAAAAGAAAAAATACTGAACATGAATGGGTAATTCACAGGAAATAAAAATAAACAGAGCTTAGGGCACAGCCACCCACAGAGCAGGTGCTCTGAGCACAGTTTCAGCTTCCGAGTGTGCAGGGTCTGAGCTGAAGAGCTGGGCAGGACAGGAGGCGAGGCAGAAGCAGGCTGCAGAGTGAAGAGTGGGCTCTGGCTCACTGGGATGAGTAATTCGAGCTGCACCCTGAGGATCGGAGGGGCCAGTGGGTCTCTGCTGACCGGATTAGAGTGGCAGGAGGCTAGGACAGAGCAAGCAGGAGGGCAGCCCTGCAGGGTTAGGGCATTCTCTGAGAGGGAGGTGGGGAAAAAGGCGTGGAGACAGAAAGGGGGCCTGTGCCTTCGCAGGCCTTCCCGGGACCCGGTGATGTGCTCACTCCTTTCCTGTCTCCCCTACCCCTTGCCTTAGGTGTGGAGCCTCCTATGCACAGGTGATGCAGACGGTGGGAATCCACCCCACCTGTGCCGAGGAGGTCGTCAAGCTGCGCATCTCCAAGCGCTCGGGCCTGGACCCCACCGTGACCGGCTGCTGAGGTTAAGCCGCCACCCCTGCAAGGCTAAGGGCACACAGGATGCCGCCCCGCTGCCACTCTCCACAGAGGCCCAGACCCAGGTACACAGTGTGAGGGCGGAGCACGGGACTGCCTGGGGTTGGGGGTGAGGCTACACCTACCACGCCTCCTGGAGCTCTGTCCTCAGGTCCAGAAGCTGGGCTAGGAGGGGAGGCCCCCAAGGGTCCCGCCCTCTAAAGGGCACCCCGAGATCCCGCCCCTCATCGCCGCTCCTGTGTGCCGGAAGTCTCGAGATCGGGCTCACGTCCACAGCCTTCTCCTGGCAGTCTCAGGCTAGCGCTCCCTGGGGCCTGCAGGTAGAGAGCAGGCCTCCCCTTTCTGCCCTAGCACCGTGCCAGTGCTGACTTATTTCCCTCTCGCCCAGAAGGTGGAGACACTGCCTCGTACATGGCCAGCTGCCGCCCTGCGCGTTGGCTTCTGCTACGGCTTTGCAAAGCCACTGGCAGAGCAGGCGGAGGACTGGCGGTCCTCTTCTGTGTCATAAGCAGTTAGCAAGTAGCTCCCTGGCTCCTGCTGAAGGCGTGCGTGTGGCCGGAGCCCTGTCCCCTCAGACAGACACAGCCTCCTCAGGCCCGTACCGTGTAGCCTGCCCTTGACTGACCCTCGGAGCTGTCAGCCCTTTCTGGGGTTGGGGTGCTTTGAGCCTTCTCTCTCTTCTCGAAATGGAGGCTGTGGGTAGAGCAGATTCCCTCAGGCAGGCCTGGAGGTCCGAGAAGTGACTGCCTGCAGCAGCAGATCTGGGCTGTTTAGGTGTTCCGCAGTTGGCTGTAGACCCAGGACTGCCTTTGATGCACGCCTGCAGCAGATCTGGGCTGTTTAGGTGTTCCGCAGTTGGCTGTAGACCCAGGACTGCCTTTGATGCAGACAAACAAAAGGCACCCTGACGAAACTGACCGGAATATTCTACTGTAGAGCTGTTTTGTTAAGAAACTGCTATAATTTTTTATTATTATTTCAAAATATTCTTGGAGCACTGCAGCGCTCCCTGGGAATACGTTGACCTGGGGGTGAGGGGAGGACCACTGTCTTCAGGGGCTTGGCTCAAATCTGTCCCTTGAGGGTCTCCTCAAGGGTGGGAGACGAGGCCAGTCAGTGTGAGGGGCACCTGTGTTGACTCCACGCATTGTGGCAGGACCGAAAGGCCAGGTCTGGAGAGCCTGGGAGACGTCGCATGGAGCGGCGTGACTTCACGGACGACCCGTGTGCCCTGCAGGGATGGCTCCAGGGGCAGTCAGCCCCATGCCTGCACCCTCTCCCCTCTTCTGCCTGGGCCAGCAGCCCCTCAGGCCCCAGTGCCAGATTATGATGGCCTGGACAGAAACCCACCCTGTGGGCTGTCCGTGTCTGAACACCCTGGCATTTCTGGAGTGCAAATAAAGAGCGTTTTCCTAATGTGTTCTGCCCGTGCTGTTTCCAGTGCACTCTCAGGATTGTCCAGGAGGGACAGGGCCTCACCAGCCTGCAAGCCCTCTTATATAAGACCTGCTGGTGGGTGGGAGCGGCAGGCCCTGTCCCTTTCTACCCTGAGCAGGATGAACTGACCCCCCTCCATCCCCTTTCCCATGCAGCTGCTTGGCCTCAGGCCAGAAGACCTTCTTGGGGGGCCCCAGGACCCTACGCACAGATCACTGCTGAGATCTCTGCACCTTGAAGCAAAAAGGGTGCCCCAGCTCCCAGCAGGTGCTGGCGGGGAAGGGGTGGTGGGAGGGTAGGAGCTGGCAGGAGCGTTTGAAGCTTTCTGTCCCCACATGTCAGTCACCTCGCTACGTTTCCATTGTGGTCCTCCGAGGCAGCTCCTTGGCTGCACTGTGGCTAATCCTGCATACTGAGGCTTGATGGACTGAGGGACCGCCTGTCAGTCACCGTACAGAGACAGCGCCGACAGCAGCAGGCAGGGCCCGGCATTGTGCTGAGGCTTTCGCTGCGGCTAATCCCGTGTCTTCCTTAAGAAAACATCACTTAGTCTGCCGGCCCGGGAGCCCTGGATGGGACCCTGCTTGTCAGCGAACAAAGGAATGTGTTTGCACCCCAGTGGGCCTATGGGAGCCTGGCTTGCGGTGTGGAGCGTGTGCAGGAGCTCTCAGACGCCCAATTAAGATGCCAAGTGCCGGGCTGGGCCCAGCCCTCCTGACAAGTGCAGAGCCAGATCAGCCGTGTCCCATTTAACGCACGGCTGGTGGCACACCCCAGCCAGCCGAGGACCTTGTGGGGAGGGCTTGCCTCCAGCCTGAGCGTTTTGTCTGCCTTAGAGGCAAAGGAATCACCTAACCCCTGCTGCCTGGGGCCGGCAGGGGCCCTCTGGGGTCCAGACCTGTAGGGGTCCCATACGGTCCTGTCCTGGGAGCAGCCCCTGCCGTGGGGCAAACAGGAACCGGAAGTGGCCTTGGTGCTCTTTGCGATGACAGAAACGATGCAGCCTGTGTGGGGCCTCCATGCAGACGAGTCGGGCCTGTGGGCCGGCCCCCACCGCTGCGGGCAGCCAGAGTGCCGCCCACACACCCGTGTCCCATGCTCCTTTCCCTGGAGCGGATCGTACATCAGTGCGCCGGCCCCTGGAACGTCTGCTCTCCCTGTGCCGTCTGTCCTGTGCCGTATCCAGAGGGGCCCAGACATCCACAAACCACATCCCAGACGGCCTCAGGTCCTAAGTGTTGAGGGGCCAGGGGACGCTATCACCTACTGTTGGGGCTGGCTGCCGGAGCAGCACACTTTGTCTTGGCTGTGGGTCCCCTGCCCAAGAGCCTGGAAGGTGGGACGTGAGCCCAAAGCCCTCGCTCAGGCAGCTGTGGGGTCAGGGGAGGTAGGGGAGGACCCCAACAAGGCAGTGTATAGGCCAGCAGCACTCCTGGGCCGGATTTGGGAGCAGGGTCGCTGTGCTGTGCCGGTGATGGCTCCATCCTGGCTTCAGGCTCCCTGCATGGGCAGCCCCCCCACCCCGAGCCTGCCTCTGCCCTGTCCCTTCTTCCCAGGGCACCTAAGGAGGGGCCAGGGCGCCAGGTGCTTGCCTGGTCCCCGGACGGCCTCCTTGCCGCCTTTGCATGTTTTTATGGTACAATGAAAATGTGATTTTAATTCCTCAGATTGTTCCATGTAACCTACAATTACCCCGGTGATGTCTTGCACACTTCTTGTGGCTCTGGATTTCGCAAGAACATGGGAGGGAGGGAGAGGAGCTGGCAGAGGGTGAAGGTTGTGCTGTAGGCCAAACTGCCCCCTCCCCTCTCCCCCTTACCCTCACCTAGGAAGTGAGGCGGGGTCACCCATCACCCCCATAACACCATGCCCTCTCCCCCAGACCCTCTTCATGCTCTCCTGTGACCACTGGGATGGACCTGGGATGAGCAGAGGAGGGCACAGTAGGAAGTTGTGAGCTCGCAGTGACAGCTGAGGTGCTCGGGCTGTAGCCCTCACCTCTGAGCATCCCATAGCCCTGTTGGCTTCCGCCTTTTCTCGGTGCGCAGCAGAGGACGTGGTCCTGATCATTCTTTCCTGGTGTCCCTCACCTGAGGCTCGAGCTTGCCTCTGAGCTCCAAGTGTTTGCTTGTCGCCATAGGACCTTAGCACATGCGGCTCACCTTATTAGGCCACCATTCCAGCCTCGGTGCCCAGGCAGCAGCTCGAGGTACCAGTGTCCACTCGCTTGTCTGATGCAGACCTGGGGACAGGCTGAGGCTCCACCACAGGTAATGCAGGGTCTGTATAAGGGGCACCCTGAGGTGGCAAGAAGGGGTCTTGTTCAGGAGGCTCTGCCACAGCAAGAGACCTGGGACTGTGAGGCCGCATTGCCAAACCGTCGTGCCCTACCCGCCATCAGGACTCCGACTGCGTGAGAGGTGTGTTTGTGTCCTTGCTGGGCTGCCGGCTGGTCTGTTCGTGCCTCCCTGGGCTTGTCTCCTTCCTTGTAGAAGCTACTACCCTCTACCCAGGGCCCCTGGGTGCCGTGTCCTTCCTGGTCATCCCACCCTTGGTTCTGTTTAGGGAATGTGACAGGGACACTGAGGGCTGCTCACGGTCAGACGTGGGGAGGGAGTGAGTCTTCCACCCAGCAAGCAGAAAGCAGCAGTGGCCGGTACCCGAGGCTAGCCAGTGGGCACTGGGCCCTGAGAAATGAGCCATGTAGCCCTGGTAGGCACCCGGACCCGGCACTGGGACCCACTGGAGCCAAAGCGTGTTGCCCCACGGTCTCTGCCCCGATTAGAAGCATGTGTTAACTGATTCTTCATCCAGATGGACCTGAACCAGGCTCCTGGGGGCCTTTGAGCTGTGTTTCCTGCCTTCTGGCTTCTCCTCCCCAGTGGGTTCCCTCTGGCGCTGGTGTCAGCAGATGTCCAGAGCCAGACAGGCCTTCAGTGGTGGCATTTTATTCTCTGAACATATTTCTTCCTTCCTCTGCCACTTTGGATCTGGGCTGTCTGGCTGAACACTGCATGGCCCTGGGAGCTACCTGACACCCTTCCTGTCCCAGGCAGGGTACACGCTGGTGCCCTGGCTGTGCCTCACCAGCAGGAGGCAGGCAGGAAGGGCTGTGGGCACAGGCTTCTCTGCTGGGCTTCCAGTCTGGGTGGGAACTCCTACAGTGTACAGACACCAGCTCTGTTCTGTCCAGGACAGAGCAGTAGCTCCATACTGTCGCCCCAATTCCCATAGGGCCAGGCCATGGGGGCCCAGTGCCTGGTACCTCCCTCGGATGGAATGGGGAAGGAACTGCTCAGAGCAGGCAGCGGGCTGGAGAGGGCTTGGCCAACCACCACCCAGAATGTTCAGCATGGGTCGTTACTGGATAGAAGATTTTGCAACAGAGATCTGTCAAGAGACTGTTGTTTTGTTTTGTTTGATACTGGGGAGTCAACTCGGGACCTTGCACCTTCGAAGCAGGCAGTAGAACCTCTGAGCTAAATCCTCAAGAGACCGTTAATCAGAGCTGGAAGAGACATCACAGTGAAGGTCTAGGAGGGCAGAGGGCTGGAGGCCTGAGACCCCATGCTATCACAGCTGGGCATTCCTTGAGCCCTCCCTGCAGCAGCCCCTAATTGTCAGGCTATAGACCCATCTCCAAACCCTACACGCATGGCTAGGGTCATCCTCCAGGTTCCAGAATCTACCGTGATAGGTGAAAGTTTGCAAGAGCTGAGGGCATACAGCAAATACAAGCTTCTCACAGGGCCAGCACCCCGTGGGACTGGCACTGCAGGTCCTCGGGGTACAAGAGCAGCTAAAGGTGCACCTTCCTCTACTCACCAGGAGCTCAGGACTTAAGTTCCTACATCTGTCTATGCACAGTGTCAAGTCATGTCACAGCCATGCCTACCACGGCCTCCCATAAGTGGTCCACTGACTGCCTGAGCTTGCTGCTGTCTGGGTTGGAAGCTAAGAGAGATGGACTTTGGGCCCATTTCACAGATGTTGCTTCTTGATCTCTGTGCCATCGATGGTGGACCAGCCAGGGCCATGGCTTCCAGACTTGGGGACCTGGGCCCGGCAACGGCAGGTCCTTGTGCTTTCCTGCACATCTACCCTGTATAGCCTCAACCTGCCAGGGCCTTGCCTCTGCTGTCCAGCCTAGATCCCTAAGAACTCTCGGGTTTCTGCTCCTGCCACCTGAGGGTTCCAAGAGCCATGCACATCCTGGTCCCCAGCCAAACACCTGTGTCTGTGTGGGCAGCGAGGAGCCTCCATGTCCCCTTGGGGCTCAGCAAAGCATCTTAAACCCGAGGCTGCCTAATCCCAGCCCTGATGTGGTTTATGGTACTCGGGTTACCCTAATCCTGAAACCCAAGCTGGGGTCCCAGCAGCCCTCCCAGAACCATCCAAGAGGCACAAGTAGACTCCCACCCAAGTGCCCTCCGTGTTTGGTGCCGTCCCTCACTGGGGATACGGCAGGACGCTGGGTAGCCACAGAGATGACAATCCAGCCCTGATGAACCTGAGTAAGATTGGGAAGCACTAGGCCCTCAGCTGAGCCTGCTGTGACCTCTTACCCAGAAGGAAACCCAAAGCCAGCAGCGACAGCAGAAGTGATAGGCGAGACAGATCCAGCTCCAGCCTGGTAAGGTCCTGGCCTCTAAGGTTTCATGGGACAGTGATCAAGCCTTATAGTTCCATAAAATCAAACTGTTTTTCTCCTAATAAAATAAGATCTTTTGGAGTTGTAACCAATGATCAAATAACACCAAATGCTTGGGAATAAAGTGGAACCATAAACAAGGCACAGTATATGACCTTGTTACAGAGCATCTGGGGGTTGGGAGCCAGCTGAGCACAGCTTTTGGCCCCACCACCGGCCACACTGACCCAGCAGGTTTGGCACTGTGCCAGGCATGGGCACACACATGAGAACACCCCAGCAGGAGACAGGAACATGTCACAGGCTGCCCTGTAATCATATTAGCACGATACACATGCGACTCTAGCATCTTTAGAGAACTTTCACACCCGTAGATTTCCCCAGAGCAGATATAATTAGCTCTTGACCTACAAGGGTCAAGATATGGGAAAGAATGTCAGGGGAGCAAAGTGATGGCCGGATGAGCTTTCTTCAGCTCCCCCTG